TCAATGCACGCGTCCTCCAAAAACTGCCGTCGTTGCAATAATTGCAACGACTAAGCAGTGCAGTGGCCCACTTGAGATGGGATATAACCCGTCGTCCAGCGGACCACTGCGGAGTTCACCTAAATCATTAACGCATAGCGTTACGCTGTCGGCACGCGCAGTCATTCAATCTGTAAGTAACACGTAAATATAGTGTATGTGTTAAACGATATACTGTGCATCACTTCTACAACCACCAAACCGAGTCCTTCCCACGTTACACCCCAGCCACGGTGTAACATATTATAGAAAGCTATATTCCTTGCGAATTTGTTATGGAAAATTCAGGTCATGATTGTTTTTGTGGGGTAAACGGCAATGAGTTAGAAATAGTAGGCCGTTGAAACGCAACAATAGTGGATGATAAAGGCGAATATAATGTCTCTTTACGCGTTGTTCCAAATAAAACTATGAAAAATGCGATGATTTTAGGACAAGATTTCATTAAATCAGCGAAGTTGTTTTTAAATAATGAGGGAGCAGTAAACGCTGACATAATGAACATCGAAATAATTGAACGTGATGCTCAGACAATTTCACAAGATATGCGTATTAATGAAAAGCTTCCGTCAAAAATCAAAGCGAGGGCATACAAATTATTTGAAAAATATTATGTAAATGTTCAGAGACCATCGAATCCTGCGGTAGAAAATGTGATGAAGCTCACACTTTTAAATGATAAACCATTTTCGTGTACGCCTCGCAGACTTTCTTATGACGAGAAAATAAAATTAAGCAGCATTTTAAATGAACTGGTTGCGAAAGATGTAATTAGAGAGAGTACTTCGGAATATGCGTCACTAATCGTCCTTACCAAAAAGAAAAATGGTGAGACGAGAATGTGCATAAACTTTCGTACGTTAAATAAATTCACGGCACGCGACATTTTCCAATTCCTTTGATCGAAGATCAATTGAATTTACTGGCCGGGAAAAATATTTTACGACTTTAGATTTAAAAGACGGTTTTTTTCACATCAAAATGCATGAGGATTCAATAAAATATACTTCGTTCGTTACGCCGCTGGGGCAGTATGAATATTTAAAAATGCCTTTTGGATTAAAGGGTGCCTCGCTTAGATTTCAGCGTTGTGTAACGCAGATATTTAGAGAACAAATAAACGCCGGTAAAATTTCGGTTTATTTGGATGATTTCCTAATAGCGACAGAAACCATCGAGCATCATTTTTAAATATTAAAAAAGATATTTGAATTACTTGTTGCGAATCTTTTAGTGTTACGATTAGATAAGTGCCGTTTTTTACAAACGAAATTGGATTATTTAAGTTACACAGTAACAGGCGAGGGTATTCGCCCGACAAACCAAGAGTTTGAAGCGGTTACTAAGTTTTCTGTTCCGCGAAACATTCGGGACGTACAAAGATTTTTAGGTCTATGCTCATATTTTAGAAAATTCATCGAGAATTTTTCGATCATAGCCAAGCCGTTGTACGATCTTACAAAGAAAGATTCGAATTTCCTTTTTGGCGGGAAAGAAATACAAGCTTT